CCCTTCCTTGCGCCAGGAAATGATCACTATAAAATCTAAATTTAACATTATCTCAACTAATTTATCTTAGCAACATGCAAGCAGACACACAGACAGATACACATCGATCGCGTTCGTGCACACTAACTTCACTTTCAAGGTGACAGGATAGTCATGGCGGGTGTATGTGGCTCACTGGGCCAGTTTATTTTGAATTCTTTCAAGGCTCAGGTTTGTGATTCGCTGCCGCTTGGTTAGCCCCCCAGGCGTTGTAGATATTCTTTTTTGAGATTTCGGACCTTTGGGCTTGTGTTTTTTTTCCCGCGAGTGTGACCGATTCTGCGGAAAGGCACGAGAAGAGATCATAAGATCAACAGAAACAACAACCAACACACAAAAACGGGCGGAGTCCCATGCAACCACACAAAAAAGCCATCAGTCGCAGTGATGGGAACAGCGAGGGCCCATCACTGTCGACAAACAATCTGAGAACGATGAATGAATTAACTAGACGACGGTTGGCCCGAGAGCGAAAAAGCCGTTTTTCAAGCAGCTCTGAGTATGGTAGTCGTAAAAAATAGTCGGTGATAGGTTGGTGAATTTTATATGAGCTATGGAGGGGGAAGTTGTGAAAAGTAAGATTGATTAAGAAGAGGATACATGTGACAACCCATGCATATGCACTGTGCTGCTTGGTAAAGGGCATCATATGACACGTGTCTTGCAACCACAGAGAGACATAGATAGAGAGAGAAGAGGAGAGAGAGAGAGAGAGAGAGAGAGAGAGAGAGAGAGAGAGAGAGAGAGAAAGAAAGAGGGAGAGAGAGAGAGAGCAGGGTCTTCTGTTGTTAGTATTGAGACACTATATTGCAAGACAATATATTAAAGATGTATTTTAGGCAGGCGAGACAAGTAGTATCAAGACAATATATTACAAGTACAAAACACTAGTTTGCATCCTATCCTTCGTATTGTTTTTCACACGCAGACGCTTTTGCACAGAAGCTGTTACACACAGACGCATTTACACACAGACGCTTTTACACACAGAAGCGTTTACACACAGACGCTTTTACACACAGAAGCTTTTACACACAGAAGGTTTTACACGCAGACACTAGACACTTTTACACACATAGGCTTTTACACACAGACGCCTTTACACACAGACACTAGACACTTTTACACGCATAGGCGTTTAGACACAGACGCTTTTACACGCAGATGTTTTTAGACACACACACTTTCACACACAGAAGCTGTTACACACAGAAGCTTTTACACAAAAACACTTTCACACACAGAGGCTTTTACACAGAGGCCTTTACACACAGACGCTTTTACACACAGAAGCTTTTACACACAGACTCCTTTACACACAGACGCTTTTACACACAAACACTTTCACAGACGCGTTTACACACAGAGACTTTTACACACAGACGCTTTTACACACAGACACTTTTACACGCAGACGCTTTTATACACAGGCGCTTTTACAGGCAGATGCTTTTACACGCAAAGACTTTCACAGACGCGTTTACACACAGAGACTTTTACACACAGACGCTTTTACACACAGACACTTTTACACGCAGACGCTTTTACACACAGGCGCTTTTACACACAGGCGCTTTTACACGCAGGTGCTTTTACACACAGAAGCTTTTACACAGACACTTTTACACACAAACGCTTTTACACACAGACCCTTTTACACACAGACCCTTTTACACACAGACGCTTTTACGCACAACACTTTCACACACAGAGGCTTTTACACACAGAAGCTTTTACACACAGAGGCTTTTATACACAGAAGCTTTTACACACAGAGGCTTTTACACACAGAAGCTTTTACACACAGGCGCTTTTACACACAGACGCTTTTACACACAGACGCTTTTACACACAGATGATTTTACACACAGACACTTTTACACACAGACGCTTTTACACACAGACCCTTTTACACACAGACGCTTTCACACACAGACACTTTTTCACACAGACACTTTTACACACAACACTTTCACACACAGAGGCTTTTACACACAGAAGCTTTTACACACAGAGACTTTTACACACAGACGCTTTTACACACAGACGCTTTTTCACACAGAAGCTTTTACACGCAGACGCTTTTACACACAGACGCCTTTACACACAGAAGCTTTTACACGGAGACTTTTACACACAGACGCTTTTACACACAGACGCTTTTACACACAGACCCTTTTTCACACAAACACTTTCACACACAGAAGTGTTTACACACAGACTCCTTTACACACAGGCGCTTTTACACACAGAAGCTTTTACACACAGAAGATTTTACACAAAAACAAAACTTTCACACACAGACGCTTTTACACAGAGGCTTTTACACAGAGGCTTTTACACACAGACGCTTTTACACACAACAGACACTTACACAGACACTTTGAAACACAGACGCTTTTACACACAGACGCTTTTACACACAGACCCTTTTACACACAGACGCTTTTACACACAGACTCCTTTACACACAGACGCTTTTACACACAGAAGCTTTTACACACAGACGCCTTTACACACAGACGCTTTTACACACAGACGCTTTTACACTCAGAAGCTTTTACACACAGGCGCTTTTACACACAGAAGCTTTTACACACAGAACTTTTTACACACAACACTTTCACACACAGAGGCTTTTACACACAGAAGCTTTTACACACAGGCGCTTTTACACACAGACGCTTTTACACACAGACGCTTTTACACACAGACGCTTTTACACACAACCGCTTTTACACACGGCACTTTTACACACAGACACTCTCATCACACAGACGCTTTTACACACAGACACTTTTACACACAGACACTTTTACACACAGAGGCTTTTACACACAGGCGCTTTTACACACAGACGCTTTTACACACAGACACTTTTACACACAGGCACTTTTACACAAACGAAAGCGTCCATGGCAATTTTACCTCAGTTTTTAACGTCCAACGTCCATTTCGTGCGTAAGGGCTGCGAATAACAAAGTAAAGTCGCAATTTTTCCTCGGTTTTTGACGTCCAACGTCCATTTCGTGCGTAAGGGTTGCGATTGACAAACTAAAGTCGCAATTTTTCCTCAGTTTTTGACGTCCAACGTCCATTTCGTGCGTAAGGGTTGCGATTGACAACTCAAAGTCGCAATTTTTCCTCAGTTTTTGACGTCCAACGTCCATTTCGTGCGAAAGGGTTGCGCGCGACACCTCAAAGTCGCAACTTTTCCTCAGTTTTTGACGTCCAACGTCCATTTCGTGCGAAAGGGTTGCGCGCGACACCTCAAAGTTGCAATTTTCCGCAGTTTTTGACGTCCAACGTCCATTTCGTGCGAAAGGGTTGCGCGCGACCAAAAAAATTGCAACTTTTCCTCAGTTTTTGACGTCCAACGTCCATTTCGTGCGAAAGGGTTGCGCGCGACCAATAAAAGTCGCAACTTTTCCTCAGTTTTTGACGTCCAACGTCCATTTCGTGCGAAAGGGTTGCGCGCGACCAATAAAAGTTGCAATTTTTCCTCAGTTTTTGACGTCCAACGTCCATTTCGTGCGTAAGGGTTGCGCGGGACGCTTCAAAGTCGCAATTTTTCCTCAGTTTTTTACGTCCAACGTCCATTTCGTGCGAAAGGGTTGCGCGCGACCAATAAAAGTTGCAATTTTTCCTCAGTTTTTGACGTCCAACGTCCATTTCGTGCGAAAGGGTTGCCGGCGACGCTTCAAAATCGCAATTTTACCTAGGTTTTGGACGTCCAACGTCCATTTCGTGCGAAAGGGTTGCGTTTCGGGGCGCTCCGGCGGCACCGCCCCCGCCTTAAGAGAGAATAGAAGAAGAGCGAGAAGAGATCTGCAGATGTGAAGGTGTGAAGATCTAGATCTGCAGGTGTGAGGGTGTGAAGATCTAGATCTGCAGGTGTGCGGGTGTGATGATGTAGATCTGCAGATGTGAGGGTGTGATGATGTAGATCTGCAGATGTGAGGATGTGATGATGTAGATCTGCAGATGTGAGGGTGTGAAGATCTAGATCTGCAGGTGTGAGGGTGTGAAGATCTAGATCTGCAGGTGTGAGGGTGTGAAGATCTAGATCTGCAGGTGTGAAGGTGTGAAGATCTAGATCTGCAGGTGTGAAGGTGTGAAGATGTAGATCAGCAGATGTGAAGGTGTGAAGATCTAGATCTGCAGGTGTGAGGGTGTGAAGATCTAGATCTGCAGGTGTGAGGGTGTGAAGATCTAGATCTGCAGGTGTGAAGGTGTGAAGATCTAGATCTGCAGGTGTGAGGGTGTGAAGATGTAGATCTGCAGATTTGAGGGTGTGAAGATCTAGATCTGCAGGTGTGGGGGGTGTAATGATGTAGATCTGCAGATGTGAGGGTGTGAAGATCTAGATCTGCAGGTGTGAAGGTGTGAAGATCTAGATCTGCAGATGTGAGGGTGTGAAGATCTAGATCCTGCAGGTGTGAGGGTGTGAAGATCTATATCTCAGGTGTGAGGGTGGGAAGATCTAGATTCGCAGGTGTGAGGGTGGAAGTCTAGATCTGCAGGTGTGAAGATCTAGATCTGCAGATGTGAGGGTGTGAAGATCTAGATCTGCAGATGTGAGGGTGTGAAGATCTAGATCTGCAGGTGTGAGGGTGTGAAGATCTAGATCTGCAGGTGTGAAGGTGTGAAGATCTAGATCTGCAGGTGTGAAGGTGTGAAGATCTATATCTGCAGGTGTGAAGGTCTGAAGATGTAGATCAGCAGATGTGAAGGTGTGAAGATGTAGTATAACGGCTGCTTTTTTACGAAGAACCCTTCGCAGGCGCTCTCGGGAAAAACATCTTTTTCGCTCTCGGGCCAACCGTCGTCTAGTTTAATATCTAGAGAATTCACACATATTCACACGCATTCATTACGAATCATCCCACGTTTGGCTGCACACTTCAGATCCATCCCCATCCCCCCGTTCCCTTTGCCGTGGCCGTGAGTTTCCGCCTGAGATCATCGTGCTGTGCGGCCTTTGTGGCGCGTATACCTCCTATACCTTGGGCTGGACCATCTTTCGATTGCAGGCACTTTGGGTCGGGGGTCCACCGGTTTTCGATGAACTACCCTCTGGTAAATTAACATAGCTATGGAAAATGACCATTAATAGTGGATTTTCCCATTAAAAATGGTGATTTTCCATCGTTATGTTAGTTTCCCAAAGGGTATTGTCCAGTTGACCCAACTTGGAGGCAGCTGTTGGCGAGCAGAGCTTAGAGTCTGCAAGCCCAGTCCGAGACGGGAACTTCGCATTTTTGAAGATGTGGGATGCGGAAGATGCGATAGACGTGGCAGGAGAAAACTTGGAACATACATGACATGGGAAATTTGCATAAATTTGTGATTTTGTTGCAACTCTGTTTGGAGGGTTCTTGTACCTTTTTGTGTCCCTTCACATAATTATTCCCGTAGCAACTGTCCACTTGAGCAACAAGTTCCTCAGCAAAAAATTACTCAACCAATGCCTAAACTTTTAAGTTTTTCCTTCGGTCCGCGCGCGCGCGCGCCCCTAAGTACCCCAAAGTAAGCTTGTTGTGGCGCGCGCGGACCCAATGAACAAGTTTAAACTTTTGTGGGAGATTACTGACTAAGAAAAACTCATGTGATCTATGCACCTTGAAGCGGTTCCAATATCCTGCACCATATTCTCTCCACCAAACTTGGATGATTGGAAGATCCGAATGCCAAAGATGCAGAAGTTTTCTATCGATTCACGGTTGGCTCCTGTGATCTAAAGTGCTCACGGATCAGCTGCTTCACAGCTCGAGGTCGAGTCCCTCTGGGTCGGAACCTCTCAGATTTTGTTGCAGTTGTCAGGTGCCACCAGATGACTGAACGGTGCGGAATGATGCGTTGTGATCTTCAGATTGTTTTTTGGAAGTATACTTTGTTATAGAATATCCTGGAATATTAATAAGCTATTACCCTCTGGTTATGACTAACATAGCCATGGAAAATTGCCCATTTACAGATGGTTTACCTATCAAAAATGGTGATTTTCCATGGCTATGTTAGTCATAACCAGATGGTAAATGCTATCAGTATTCTGGAGTATTAGTATTAGGCTAAAAATATCAATTACCCAAAGATATTAATTCCTTCCCCAGGTCGGACACGGACGGCTCTTCCACTGCAACTTCGAGTGAGGAGCTGAAGCTTAGCCCGGTCATAATTTGAATGTGCCAGGGTCATGCCAGTTCTTTATGGTATGTAACTTATGTATCCCACAAAAAAATAAAAAATATAGGATATAACTTGAGAAAACTTGATATGACCACGGAAAATTTGGATTTTCTGGAACCCATGATGATCAGGAACTACCCTCTATTCATGACTAGGGGAAATGTCCATGTTCCATGGTTGATTGCCAGAGGGTGTTCCGTCCCTGAGATGATTGGGTTCAGGAGCGCTTCCAAAGCTATGAGGACGTCTCGGCGCAGGCTCCTCGAGGGTCTAGCTGATATCTCGGCAAGCTAAAATCGCTTTTTGGGGGATCTTGGAGAATGTGGGTAAAACAATGCCATGTTTAGCACCCATGACTGGGAATGGTTTATACATGTTTATAATTACTACACCACATAAAACATCATAAAACTATACCACCTATAAAAATATGGTAATTTGGGGGGATGGTTTATGGCATTGCGTTAACATGTTTTAACATGTTTTAACCACATTCTAATGGATCGTGACTCCAAAATGGCGAGGCCTTAGGCATCTCCGGCCGCATCCTGGCGCTCGTCCTGCAGGCCTTGATGTGTCCTGGAGATGAAAAAAACGGCCCGGCTGGATGGCTGAAAAGCTGTGGTGGATGATACCATCTGGTTATATAATAATAGATATAGTTATATAAATGATAGTTATATAATGATAGTTACATAGTTATATAAACATCTATAGTTATATAAACATCTATAGTTATATAATGATAGCTATATAAACATCTATAGTTATATAAATGATAGTTATATAATGATAGTTACCCTCTGGTTATGACTAACATAGCCATGGAAAAATCCTAACCATAAATGGAGGTTTCGTTCGCTGGGAAAATTGAATCTATTTCGATTAGGGCCATGGCTTCCATGGCTATGTTAAATAACCAGAGGGTATTTAATCTAGATGTCGCCAGAATGAGGCAAGGAGTTTCTATGAATTTGTACTCATTTTCTAGCTAAGTCAGTAAACCAAGTGATAGTCCCAGCAGTTTTTCCCATGTTTTTTTCCCCATTTGTGATGTATCTAAGGCTGATTGGAGTTTGTACCATTTTCCTGGTGCTGATTGGAATCAACGCCGTGCAGTTGGAACAGCCTCTCGACATCGCATAGACGCAAGTCCTCAGGTCGAAAATATGTGATGAATAGCCATTGAAAATGGCCCATAGAAATAGTGAGTTGTCCCATGAAAAATGGTGATTTTCCATAGTTATGGGACAGTTTACCAGAGGGTAAATGATGATACATATGGTGAACATATATGGCGAACACATGGTGAATCCTCACTCATATCATGGAGATTTGTCAATCTCTTTCATAGTTTCTAAGATTTTCCTAGATTTTCTACGTCTTGCAACAGCACAGTGTTGCACCCCGGTGGCAGCGGTCAGGATGTACCAGGTGGAGTGGCTGACCAAGCGTCAGGTCATTCTCTTGGCCGCCGCCCTGGAACTCGTTCCCTGCGTCCTGATGACAACCGTGAAGGACTGGCGCGGCTATGCCACACTGGTCCCAGTGGGTATGATGAATCTTCGTGGATGAAAAATCTGGGGGGATTGGAATCCTTGGAACTGAGGGATTGGATGATACAATATTGGATGGATTGGAACTGAGGGATTGGATATGATATTGGATGTGGGTTTAGATTCTCAACAAGACATTGGCTACACGTGGCCGGCATATGCCGGCATACTCATTGACATGGCTACACCATGGCTACAGCCATTTGATAAGCAGATGTCAGGCTCCATCATCAGAACATCCCGCACATACCAGGTTACCAGTCCCTGGAAGGTATCCATTCATCAGGCTTTCAAGCTGATTATATACATCCATGTATCATCATTTACCCTCTGGTAAACTGTCCCATAACTATGGAAAATCACCATTTTTCATGGGAAAACTCACTATAAATGGGCCATTTTCAATAGCAAACTGTTAGTTTACCAGAGGGTATCCATTTATCGCACATCAGTTGGCCAAGTATGGTCATCTCACCAGATGACCAGGAGACCTTTATCTTGACAGCTCTGGGTGCCCTGTGTTCTGCCATTTGTGCAGTGACTGGGACGAGTTCCAGGTGCATGGTGTGGATAGTGTTATCAATATGGTGGTAAACTATGGTTATAAACTGGTTGGTGGTTTCAAGTGTCAAACATATTATAATCTAAATCCTACTTGTTTTTGGGATGATGATCCCAACTGACAAGCATATGACTGTCAGGGGCGTTGAAGCGTCCAACCAGATTTGATGTTTTGCTCGGGGGCCATTTGGAATCCTACAGTCATGGTTCCTGCCGCAGATATACAGTACCAACTAAAACTGACATTGTACATACCCTTACCATCCTTAAGTCAGGTTTATCTTGGAATCGGTTTGGAGATTGTGGATGAAAATGCGCAAGAAAAAGACATCATCTTGTCACCACTACTAAGAGGAGCTTGGCTCAGTTTCTTGTCTTCAAGTTCCAAAAAAATCTGGGAGTTTGTCAGGTTTGTCGGGTAAGATATCCAGTTACCGGTACAAGTGCCAGAATTCCATCCCCGGCCTGGTGGACCTCAGGTCGTGGTGGTGATCTCTGCCTTCACCACCCGGCCTTCCGCTCTGCGCACGTGCCTGGAAGATCCCAGTGGCAGCATCCAGTGGCCCTTTGTGACGGATCTCAAAGGCGCGGGCCTGTTGGGGACACTGCTGGGGACACTGTTGGGGACACTTCTGGGGACACTGTTGGCCCTTTGAAATCTGTTTTGAAATATGCCAAATGGCACATTTTGGCACCTTTTTGATGGCTTGACTATGTTATGCTGGATTTGAAAGGCATGTTGAAGTCTGGTAGGATAGCACACCATGAAACTGTCCGTGCATAAGCTTTTTTGGGAAGTTCCCAGGCACTGGTCCTATTGCATCTTGGAATAACTGCATTTATCGAGAACTGAGACAGCTCATTGGATCAGTGTCCAGGACTGTCTCTGTGCTGGAACACGGTCTCTCACCTGCAGTGCAGTGCTTGACATGGTGTGGAATGGCGTGGAAGGATTGGAGTCCACATGCCCCAGCAATGCTAGTCAACGGATATCAAAGGCTGTCAAAGCACGTTTTTCACCACAGGCATTTGATTGAATTCAGTGCAGCTCTGGTGGATCTGTGCAGTTCATGGTAGTTCCATCAGGTGGTGTTTTCCTTCGGTGGCATCAACGTCTTGCCAGCTCTGCTCGTGGACTTTCATTCGCGCGGAGTTTTGGCAAGGGCTCTGGTGAGTTTTACCTGGCGATCCTACCTTTTTATCATCTTCTTCTACGTTCCCTGGCTCCGTTGAGCCAGGTTGAGCTGTTGCATGTGGTGCTCATCCAAGGTCAGCATTTCTGTAAAAGTCCTTTTGGGGGTTGCGCTGAAGGCATTACTGAGACATGGTGAGATGCTCTTAGTTGCATTGGGTACAACGAGGATTGGAGGAGGGCAGACTCTCCACATAAGGTCATCATTCTAATCAATGGTATGCTTCCCCTTACTTAGCGATGATGATCCCATTTCACTCCAATATGGGTACAGATCAAAATGGGGCACCCCCAAATTGGATGCTTAAGGCTTAATGCCCAAAAATTACCAAACAAGGGCTCCCCCGGGCCTTCATTGTTGACCCGTGGCCAGTGGCCAGATTGTTCCGATGTGTGGCTCATCCTGTCGACCTTGCTGGGAGAAAGCCAGGTCATTGTGGCAGTCAGCGGCTTCGCCGTGGGGGGCGATGCCTTGGCCAGTGCAAAGGTGGATTCCAATGTGCTGATTGGACTGCAGGGCTGCAAGGACGAGCACTTGTGGCACTTGGTGAATAGATTGGGAATCAACAGAAAATCTGGTGGGAAATTTCTGGGAGACTCATGGAAGTATGGAAGATCAAATTCAAATGGTTGGTCTGGCAGATGTGATGCTTGACATATGTTTACCATTCTTTACAGTTGCTTTCCTGTCTTCAATTGTTGGGAGTTTGGTGGAGGGAGGGGGGATGGGTTGATGGTGATGATGTGGTGATGAAATTGTGACAATGGCGGGTGAAGGGAAATTCGGAAAGGGTTGATAAGACATGATAAGACTCTTGTCAGGTTTGGAGGTCCATGTGCATTTCTGTTCATGTGTGCTTTTCTCGTTTTCTCTTTCGATGGATCCTGATCCTGGAAAATTTGACCTTCATTTGCACAGGACAGCTCGGGAACCGTAGATTGGAGCCTCCTCGTTTCCAGGCTTTTTGAAGCAAGTCCTCAGAGACCCTTAAAGGCAAACCAATATGGATGGCTGGGCCTAATGATGCAGTATTCCATTTGTATCCATATGACACATCTGATATATATATATATATTTCTCTTTTGGCCCCCGATCTACAACTAGCACAGAATATTTTTCGATGTGTTTTTGTTGCCTTGTCAAACGGACCCAGACCAATCCTTGGCCGGATCCACATAATGATGGTAGGACAAGGTTGTTCTTCCTTCAAGAGCTCCCCAACTTGGTTCCAAACTCCTGCGATCTCCTTCTGAACATAGGGTGCCCAAACATTTGATTGTTGATCATTTCGCATTTTTTCCCGACAAGTTTGTTTTGAAATATGAATAGAGGTGCACGTCCTAAATTTAACATTGAACCCACGAATTGGGTTTTGAATTTTTGAAGCTGATTTTCCTGTTACTCATGACGTTTTTTGGGATACTATATTAGATTTTGGAGCTGTGGCTCTATCCCCCCATGTTTGATGCAACCTGACGCATGCTGACGCTCCAAGGTTGCATTTGCCTCGATCACCCTGCATGTTGTGTTGGCCATGCCGGTCCCCTTTCATGCCTGCGCTGAACCCAAACAGCAGAAAGTTCGCTTCGCTCCCTGAAGTGGAAAGAAATTATGAATGCATGGATCTCAATCTCAATGCATGTTCATGGGACATATGGATAGATTACCAAACAATATGATATGATGCTTCGGTGTATCTAAAAGATTGACAACGATGGGACATGCACCAAAATGGCAACTGCGTAGGGAAAATAATGATGAACCTAAGGTATTCTGGATATATCTTCAGGCAAATCCGGGTGGCATAGCTAAATGGATAGTACCATATATATAAATAAATAAATATATATCCACTAGATATTGTCAATAGCAGTTGTTGCAGCTGGAATCAGGGTATTTCAAACTCAAAGAAGTTCAGAGGCGCTGGGAGCGGCTGCACTGACACCAGGATCCAGGGACTGAAACCACCAACCAGATCCAGCACAGCCCAGGAAACGCTCGAGTTGATGCTGGGAATACGAGAGACCCTGGGTGTGCAAATGAGTTGTAGGATGGTGTAGGCAATGTTTAGGAATATGCGATTATATAGCCAGATAATGCTGTACAATGCTGGGAATATGGCGGCCATCCCCTACTGTAACATGCAGGGAATGTTGTCCACTTTGCTCGTTGGCTTGGCCGGATTCGCCGGGCGAGGAATTCTGTACCCAGAGCCGTGTGGCCCATGATCGGGCTGCAATGATCCGACTTGCTGGTCAAATGGCCAGTATGTTTTGCGGTGGGTCAGCCAACCAGTTCCACTCAGGGCCACTTGAAAAACCAAAACCATGACTAGATTTTTCGAATATGACAGATAGATACAGATAGTAGCCGAAAAAACAGAGACATTCCATGGTTTTTCCTGTAGCATCCAGGGCCCCAAGGAGCTCCGTAGCTTTCCAGGAAGACTTTGAAGTCCAGTTGTGCCTGGGGACTCTTCTGGCGGCTTCCACGGCTGCTGCTGTTGGCAAGTTGCACTGAACCTTGGTGTAGCTGGGAAATCCCTGGAATAATGTGGGCAAATGTGGGCTAAATGGAAGAATCATCTGTCCTTAAACATCGTCTATAATCGTCTATAAGCATCATCTATCAATGGAGGGGCTGTCCATTGCCATGTTTGCCATGTTCGAAACGAGGTCACCATGAAATGATCGTGGAGGTGGATGGAATCATGAAAAAAAAACATCCACTGGGGTCACCCGGCAATGCCTTGCTACTTGAGCTCCCCCCAAAATTAAATTTATGATGAAACATGATGAAACATGATGAAACATGATGAAACATTATGACATATTGATGAAATATTGATGAAATATTTCAATATTGATGAAATATGAATTTTGGTGTCCAATTGGTTGATCCACCTCATCCACCAATGTGTTTGCCGAGGCCTTGGCATATCTCCTGCCCTTCTTCGGGGCACTGCTGAATGTGGTGGCCGCCATTGCCGGACAGGTGGTTTTTATGGCGCAGCACAATGATCATCGTGGGATGTAGCACCTGTCCGGATGATGTTTAAAGTTTACCCTCTGGTAAACTAACATAGCTATTGAAAATGCAATTTATAGTGAGTTTTCCCATCAAAAATGGTGATTTTCTATAGTTATGTAAACGTTTACCAGAGGGTAAAGTTTCTTGATCCGCTTGATATCTAGAAGGTTTTTCTGCGACATCTTGGATTCAATAAACCACCAGCTGGTACCTTCCAAAAAGCCTCCAGCTGGAAGCAACATGAATCAACCATAAAAGACCACACCTTCAACCAAAAAGACATTGAAAATACATGAAACCAGTACAACCACCCATAGAAAAATGTGACAAACCCAATCATAAACCATGAAACCTCCGAATTTATTGGGGGTGGTTTCTAGTCTATACTTATATCTTATACCATCCTCAAAATTTCTGGCATACCCTCTGGTGACTTAACAGTTTGCTCTTGAAAACGGCATATAGTTGATAATTTCCTATTATAAATGATGATTTTCCTTGCTATTTTCCAGTTCGCAAACTCGAACCGTTTACCGTTACAGTAGGTCGTTGGGATGTCACCGTCACCAGGCCACCGTTTTCATCTTACCCATCATCTTGAGCTGGGCCATCCAGCGGCAGCAGAAGTACCGCATACGCCTCTATGAGCCTGGGAAGCGGAACCGGGAACCGGACGGATCGAGTGGATTGGATCAATACCCTCTGGTAAACTAACAGTTAGCTATTGAAAATGGCCATTTATAGTGAGTTTTCCCATGAAAAATGCTGATTTTCCATAGTTTTTTGGGACAGTTTACCAGAGGGTATCAATCCCTATCAATGCATTAATGGATAGTATATAGCCCTATATAGCCAATTTCAACGGATGGATATAAATGGATATAAGATATACAAATATATAAGTTCACGGATGATTCATGGATGAATATATTGCAAATGGATTATCAATATAATAGGCTATAATAAGAAATATATGGGTGAATCTGTTTGGTCGTCTGATTTGATATGTTTTTCTTTTTTGAAAAGTTTGCTCAAAAAGATCTCCTAAAACGGGGGAGAGATGCTGGAAGTACTATAGCAACGATGGATCCACCCAGTTAGGATTGGCTCCTGGGCATCCTCTGTCTCTTCGTGGGCGTCTTGGGCGGCGTAACGGGCCTCTACTATGGCCTCAATGATTTAATTGGTGCCCTCAAAGGATAGGGCTGCAAAATGGTAGCTGGGTGCCATCTTAATCCATTTTTACGCGTCAAGGATCTTTGAGATCCCGCGAAAATGGATGTTGACGCATTGGATTCGCCAGATTTGAACTTGAGTTATGTATAGTTATTTTTATATTGGCCAGGGGTGGACAATTTTGATGGCGGTCAGAAGTGATCTTTGCTGTCACTTTACTGATTTGGAATTGACTTTTCCCCTTACATACTCACTCATCCTCAAAGGATGATGGGTGTAGCTTTGAGTCACACGGGAACACAAAAAACGCGGGGCGGAGGACCAGGAAATGTTCTGCATGTTGATATTGGCAGACATGAGGCTGACTACTTCTTGTTGCTCCTGGGATAGTGTTTTTCTGTGTTTTCCTGCCAAACTTGACTTGCAAACCTAGATTCTGGATATTTCGGGTTCAATCCAAAGTGGGGCTGGACGTAGAAATGCCCCGCTTAGTTTCCTCTTCAGTCTTCAACTCTTCAATCCCTGGACCCCCGGTGGTTTCCAGTACCACCAGGAAGTCAAAGCAGTGACGGTCCGCGCTTCAAGCTCAGTTCAGCAACGCCGCTTCCACGACAGCGTTCCGCGACAGCCATGGGAGGTCTGTGCAGCGGAAAGCAGGTCGACGCGCCAGTGGAGGAGAATGAGGTTATTCTCAATGTTCCTTGGATATCCTTGGATCCCTATAGTGACAAGTTGGCCCCTGGTTGATTTAGAAGGTTACCTGGTTTATTGTTGAAGTATAAGAAACCAGTTTTGGGAATCCTGTTAAACCAACCAGCAAAAAGGTACGACAGAGAGTGCTTAACTTGTTTTGGTCTCTCCGCTACATGCAGTTGTCGGTGGTGTCCAACCTCATAGACGGTATGTATAAACTTTGATCGGCGGGAAAAAGCGAAACACATGCAGGGCACAATGGGATACTTTTGGGTGAGCGTCAAACTTAAGACCCGGAGCCCCAAGATTTTGCCACTTTTTTGGTACGAACCATGAGTCTTCATGGGGGCACCTGTTTTTTGGATTCCTCCCCTTTCATTAAAGGTCCCAAATCTTAAATCCCAACAAATCGAGAAATGTCTCTCAGATTCTTGTTCACTCAATATCCTTTGCATGATTGGCCTTTCCAGTGGTAGTTTTGTTGGCCTGTTTCAGTTGCAGTTTGGGATTTGGCCCTGGTCAAAGCTTCCACATGCTTCACTTCCAGCGGTTTCCAGTCAAGTTGTAGCAACTGGCATTTGGTATATATACATATATATATAATATAGTACATATAACATATAGAGTCACAACCTTTGGTTGTGTTTCCTTCCCTCATGGACCTACGGACTGGACTGGTTTAACCACTTGAAAACTTCACTCGGTGGCTGCGTAGTCAGTCATTCGTTTTGTTCATCATCGCTGATGGCTTGGGGTTAACACCTTTGCCCAACTGGTGGGTGATCAGAAAACTTGCAGGAGTTTCCTTATACCATCTGGTTATTTAACATAGCTATGGAAAATCACTATTTTTTATGGGTAAATCCACTATAAATGGGCCATTTTCCATGGCTATGTTAAATAACCAGAGGGTATATTTGAGGGTAAATACTGTAAAAAAACCCATGGGGTTTCCCAAGATTTCCCAAAAAAGAACCACTAAAAGGGAACTTGAAAAAGGTGACGAATTCCTCAGGTTTACGACGTGGGCACTAGCTGCTTGGCTCAATGGATCATTGGGACCGTTAACATTTTGAGCTGTACCATGGCATAGCCAAAATGTTGAAGGCTGAGGTTCCATGAATGATATACCATCTGGTTATGACTAACATAGCCATGGAAAGATCCACCATTTTTAATAGGTAAACCATCTATAAATGGGCCATTTCCAATGGGGTAAATTGTTTTCTCCTGGAATGAATTTTCCATGGCAGGCCATAGTAGCTCTTGGATGTTTGTCACAGGACCAGCTTGGGATGCGGCATGAGGGAACCAGAACGCATCATCCTTTGCGATTTTGGGTTGGAATCTAACCAGCAAAGGATGGGGGTAACCGTTTAACATCGTTTAACCATTGATCCATTGATCAACATCAGTGCTTTCAGCCGCCTGAAGAGATCAAAGGCATTGCCATGCATGATCTGAACAATGTGTTGCATATGATCGGCACGGGTGTCTACCATGCGAGCACTCAAATCGGCGAAGACGTGGAGTGGGCCTATGGATTTTGCGAGATGCTCGGCAATGAAGGTACTTACTGGTGGAGAAAAAAGGGGGAAACAACGGGAACCCCCTAAGCTGGTTGATGGGCAAGATTTGCCGTTCAATATATAAACACAAACAGTATTGTTGCTTGGTTGGATAGGGCAAACATGTGTTGGTTGGATAGGGGAAAAAAGACGTCTTGTTATTTGTATAGTTATAGTTCCACTCTTTGATCAGTCTTTGATCATGATCTATTTAAATGATCTACATTGATGTTTTGGAATCGGTATAGGTTTGAGTTGTGATGGGACGGAGTTATGGTGATCCTTTCAGGTGGGGTCCCATGTTCCGCATTTGCAGCGTCGGAGTCAGCTTCGGCTGGCAAGAAACCATCCCCTGTGACCATGGGGATCATTTGACATCATCCCAAGGAAGTTTTTTTCCACCAATAAATCCCGTTTGGGGATTTTTTACTATTGGATTTTTGTAGAATTAAGTTGAATTAAGTGTAGTTCAAGAAGAGCACGGCATTTGATTCAACTCCGGATCCTTTTGCCGCCGAGGAAGGGATCAGGCGTTTTCCATTGTCCGCCTAAGCAACTGGTCCTCGAAATTTGCACTGGGTGCATGTTCTTGGGGAGTTGTTCTAGGAACTCGAATCAGAAAGTTGAACCCCGAAATCCACCATCTTTTTGCTCAGGGAATCAGGTTGAGATGCCGGCGTGTTGAGTTTAAACAAGATCTACTTTCAGTGTCGGATTTTACTCTGCAGCTTATATACTGTATCTATCCATGGCTATCCACTTTTTGGAGATTTGGAGAGTCAGAATTCCGTAAACTTCTTATGTTGTGCCCTTCCTTTTGGCATTTAAAATATGCAAGCCATGAACGTTAGTGATTGTGATCAAAGCTCATAGGGCCTACAGGCCTACATGGCATCACGCCATAGGCTCGACCACTGGGATTGATCCTTCGCCATGCGCCATGCCGAGGGCTTACCCTTTCACTTTCAGAGAGTCCATCAACATGGGCAAGTCCCCCCTCTCAAAGGAGCCATGTAGATATGCCAGGGGGAGGCTCACGACATACCGCTGCCAGCGCTGAACCAAGAGGTCTCATGTTCCTCATAATTGCAGTAGACACTCAACCTCCCTTTTGACAAATAGTGATGACAATCTCCATCATGCATGTCTGTTTCAATTTGGTCCAGAGGCACAATAGAGGATATGGATTTGATACAACGGAATTGTGTAAAAAACAGTGGGGGCCTTGACTTTGTCTCAAATTTTGGGGGCATGGTCGTGCGAAGTACGATCCAAACATATCCAAAGATACCACATCTGTAGGTGTTGATGACTTGTTTACAATATCATGTCGTCTAAAAACCAATGGCCTTCCCAGCCATGACTACCCCAGCCATGGGCGAAAATAGCGATGGTTCCAGGAGGAGATCACAGCAACCATTGAGAAGTTGAAAAAGCATTGGCTTGGTAGTGACTATGAGCCTTGGAGATCTTCTCATTGGATTGGTTGGGAAAAAATCACGGGAAACACCCATATTTTTCATGGTAAAAACCATGGGGTTTCTGGATGTTTCAGGTCGAGTTTCCCTTAAACCTATGATCTTCGTGAGGTCTTTGTGGTGGGATCCAATCAGCGACGAATAACGGGGGCTTTGAATTCCAGGTGTTTGAGTAGTGCACCACGGGTATAATAAAATGCATTAAAATGCAGTTTCCGGACATAGCCAAGCTTGTTTGGGTTAAGTTTGGGTGTGTCTCGAAATGTGGGTGTAGAATATTGTAGGAACCAACATCTGGCAATTTGATAGGGAACATGATGATACCCTCTGGCTATATATTCAACATTTCATATCGAAAATGACCTAACATGACCTAACATTTTTTCCATTCATAAATTTATGTTTAACCCATTTACTCACGTGGTATATTGTGGTGATTTCTCCGTCAGCTATGTCAGCTATCGGGGCTCCATGGGGCTCCAAGTTCCCAGGTTTGAGACACGGACCACTTAAGGACCAGCTACTCCGTAGCCGTAGCTTCACCTGCTCCACATGTGTGTAAGTATACAAGCAACGAAGTGGTGTGCCATGTGATATATGATACTGATATATATATATATATAACATGATATGTATAGTTGGGTGATGATTTTGTTCATGAATATGTATATATAGATATAGATATAGTTTAGCCGTTGTTTAGTTTAATGTTGGGCTCTGATTAGTGTGGCCCCCCTCAACAATTTTGGGCTACTCAGTAACTCCGCATTTTCTGTGCCCCCCCTCAACAATTTTTAGGATAGTCAACTTAAGTAAGGATTTCAATTGACATCAATCAATCTACTGTCAATTGATTTTCCTTTAAACCTCAAAGAAATCAATTGATAAGAAAGGATTTCAATTGATTTTCCTTTTAAACTTCAAAAAATATATTGATAAGAAAGGCTTTCAATTGAAATCTATCTACGTTGAATCGCTTTTCCTTTTACAGTAAACTTCAAAACATATATTGATAAGAAAGGATCTTAATTAATTGAAATCAATTTGCTTTCAATTCATTTGAATCTACTTTCAATTGATTTTCCTTTTCAACCTCAAAGGAATCTATTGATAAGAAAGGATATCAATTGAAATCAATTTACTTTCAATTCATTTGAATCTACTTTTCATTGATTTTCCTTTTAAACCTCAAAGAAATCTATTGATAAGAAAGTATTTCAATTGAAACCAATTTACTTTTAATTCAAGTGAATCTACTTTCAACTGATTTTCCTTTTAAATCCCAAAAAAGCATTGCCCAAAAGTTTTTGTGCACAATAGGATGCCGTCCAAACAATTACATTATTGAGGATCTGGGTCACGCATGGGGTACCCCCTTGAAAAATTGTTTGGGTGTTGTTTGTAAACAAGGATTTAATAAGGCATCTAATTATTTGGGAAAGGAAACCTTGTGGTTTCAAGGCTTTAACATGGATATGATATGGCTTTCTAAAGTAAATGGACCAGCTTTACCCAAAGAAAGGTGTATAAAGGTGGATAAAGCTCCTCCTGAAAAAAAAAAGGGATCTGAGAAAAAACTTCTCACAATAGAGCCTCCCCCCCCACAAACGGCAAGGTGCTCAATTGGGAAGGGAAAACATCTCACAATAGGGTACCATGACACTAATCGGAGGCTAACATTACAACGATATACGTTTTCGACTTTTTGTTTCATGTCCTCTCAGCAGGTTACCGTTTCTTCATTTGGTACTATCATACAACGTTGTGCAATTGTACCACTATATGTATAAATATATATATATATCAAACTACATTGATTCTACTGTTCTATGCGTTATTTTCATCGCAGGCTGGTGATTTCCTTCCGCATTGCGTCCTCTCAGGACCTGTTGCATCAGAATTGTTGCCACTTCGCTGTGGCCCTGTGTCACTGAGCCGAGTGAATCGTGGACCACCGGTGGAGAGATCTGAGAACAAGTTCATTGATTATCACATGTTATCAGGATTGATTTGATATCTTTAATATTCTTAAGTATAACAAACTGATTACTGATTACTGGTTATCATGTTCATGAACTATGATTTAGTTATATACTGTAGTGGTTTGTGCTTATTATATATATATATATACAGTACTCAGAGCCACTCCCGGGAGTTGATTCAACGGACCGTTTGCAGGAACCCTATGGAAGCCCTGTACGTTTCAATGCGGAATTGAAAACAGATGAGAAGCTTGTATTTTTTTGTATTTCTCGAACATTTCACTGACTCAGAATTGGAAACTTCAAGGAAAACCTACAGGAAAGCACCATTTTTATCCATTTTTTCTATGCACCGATCATGCCACAACGAGTCGCGACCCTCGGGCCATTCTGGCTGTGTCGGTCAAGGCAAAGCACTCAAGGTGAAAGAAGTGCCCTCGTCACTTGGCCGTGCGTCATATTAGTGACCGGGAAGATAAGAATAGTATAACCCCCGACACAGATTATATATAATGTTGGTAAAAGAATGTCATAA